GAAAAACTGCAGCATAAACAGCATAAGCAGTAGTTTTGGAGTAATTACCCAAAAAGAATAGTAGCATTTCAAATGACTAATTACTCCTCTCAAATTGTAATGGGAGTACTTTACTCATTGTCCTACGTGTAATTACTCGTTACTTTACTTCTGGGGTACTCTCTAAAATCAGTACAATTCTGCACCATTTGGAAAGTGCAAGGGAAAAAGCAAAGAAATGGCAATGTACAGTAAATATCATTGAAATCCTGCCACCCTGCTGTTGAACAAGACCTTAACAAGCCAGTTCTGCTTTGTTAAAATTATGAGTTGCTGATGCCAGCTGCCTCAAAATACATTCCATGTTCCATGATCTGTTCATAATTTGGCCTGTTTAGATAAGGTTGGCACTTTCTCTTCTTCAGCACAGGGATCTTTATACATCAGTTTCATATTAACGTGATTAGATGCAAGTTTACAGTGCTGCGCTGGTCATATTCACAATTGAAGTTGTGCAATTGGCTGTTTGGGTGTGCCAAGTACGTACAAGGATAGGCCTGGTAATCTTTTACAGCTCTGGTTCAGTTTAGGTTCTAAGTAATAGACAGGTACATACTATGTAAGACTGTACTTGTTTGTGTACAGTCTTTTTACACCATATAACTACCCACTACATTTTTACCCAAAGTAATAACAAATTACACAGCACTGTAGAGTTGGCACCCACACTTTCTCAGTGAGTACAGCTACAACCTGTTTAGTGTTTCAGTGTAATTTGTTCAGACTCTCTTGAAACTTATCATCATGTTACCCAAAATCATTACCTAGCACTTTGACGTTTGTACCTCACACTTACCTGGTTACCTAGAACTTGAGGGAATGTAAAAGAAAGCATTATCAAAAGTCTTCCAAAGTCAGTAAGTGTAATGTGTTACATCACTTTGTTATAGAAAAATAGAACAACGTTACTGTAACATGCTACTATATATGTCATTAGTAAGTTACACATGTTACCAAAATATGTTACAAATGTCATAAAATGCTGCACCACTGCTAGCTTGGTGCTAACAAAACTTTCAAGATTAACTATAGGCTACTAATATTCTGCGTTAAACATTGCCATATAACTGGCACATGCACATAATGTACGCACCTGCTACCAGATATAACTGGTATTCCCATCCACTCCCCCATATGTTAGGAAGGACATATTTTTTATATAAATTGAATATTAATTTATATATTTTCACAGTTAATTACATGATAATTAAAACTGTTGTCTTTGATTTCTGATTGAGTTTACATTGACACATTTATAGGCTGAACTGAAGGCCTAACTCTAACAGTCATGCTCCAGCACTGCAATTACGTAATACTGTAATAGAGTTAGCACAAGAGAAAATCTATCATCACCTACTTTCCAAGAATTATAAACCAGTTCCAGTTAAGATGTAGCCAGTCTGATTATACGCACAAACTTTGGGACTTTATTTTAGATCTGGAGAGATGTAGCCTTGAATATGGTCTCCTAATATTTCTTAGTACACAAATGTTTAGATAATTAGATAAATATTTAGCTTTGCCGTTTGTGAGCTTAATTGTGAATCCCTGATTCCATTTCTTTTCCGTTCTATTTCTTTGCTGCCCAGGTGTCTCAACACTTCCTTGAAATATTGTATCTGTTAAGCGAAATGAAAGCAATATCTCTCCATGGTTTCTCCCATAGGCACTCCTGGGCCTTATTTACAAGCAGCTACCGACTTCTGTAACAAAACTCAACATCCTTGCTGCACAGAAGGTAAAGGTAAGAGGGCCCATGCTCTCTTTTTTTTTTACAGTAGAATAGAATGGATAACACATGCTCTTTAATGTTAAGCCTCTGGTCCACTGTGGAGGCCCTGCTGTTTTATCAAGCTACTCAGCACAAATCAGAGCAGTCCCCTAAGTGCATGGGGGTAAAACTGTGGGCCGAGCACGTCTGCACATTGGAAGCACATTTGGAATGTTCCTCTATCTGTGAACTTTGTGGCCGTCAGAACAAATGTGTTAAAGAGGTGGATATCCGGTCCATCTTCTGGGCTTCCCCTTTGAGTTACGGGCCTGAAAACCTCACCCTTTAGGTTTTATTTTGCCTATTTATTTAAAGCATTTGAAGTTCTGATGTTGACATTCCTTGGGATGGGACCAAGAAATAAGCGGAGGATAATGTACAATTAGAGTACTATCAGTTCTACTGTGGTCAGACCAAGCTTGGTCATATAAAGTACAAGTCATTTTATAAAAATCACATTTGACACGAGTAAGGAATTCACCCGGGATGCGATATCTGCCTGTGGAGAACTCTTAGACAAGATGACGAATCTACAGACCATAGATGTTTTTGTAAGAAGATAAGTCAAATTAAGCAAAGTCAAACCTTGTTAGTAAATGATGAATCCGTTCGATTATTTTGCTAATTCTGTCCAGAGTGATTTCCTGGAAAATCTTGACATCATTTACACAGCTGTGGATTTAAACAGGCCATCCTAAACCCTAAAAACAGCAAGGCTGGTGCTGCACTTTTCTCTACTCCATGACAGGCCGTTGGGTTTTCTACTGGCTTGTATGTAGCTGACAAGAATACAGCTATGATGACATTGTGCATCCTATTAGTGTATTGATTTTCTTTATCAGATTCTTTATCACTAATTTAATCTTAAACAGTGCATTGTTGTTATTTGGACTCAGATAAATGTGGAAATGCCATTTCTAAGAGGTCCATCTCAGCTGGACAGAGCACACCCCGTTTCTCTCTCAGAAAGCTGATACTCGTGACTCTTGTAACCCTTTCTGCATAATTCACACCCTCCCACTGCCGAGCATCAGATAGTCTCCTCACAATTTCATGGTCACTGCAGGGCCAACAGCCATACATAATTCTGGACATTTTGATTTGTTGCTGCATTTTTTCTTCTGTTTTCCTTATTTTCTCAGGGTAAAGGGGGTGGTCTAAAGACAGCTCGTTAAGTCATTAAGATGCTATTGTCATTGAGTGCTTTGGCTGGGGTCATGTGCCATAGTCGAGGAGTAGTATGTGGTTCTCAAAGATGACATAACAAAAATATTCATGTGAATAAATACATAATTGGGCTACTAGTGGGAGATTATACTTATTTAAAACTTAAAAATAAAGGATCCCTTTGTTTTTATAACCTTTTGAGGAATCATTGTGGTCTGGTTCAACTTCCTCAGAGACATGACACAAATATAATTGCAGTATAATTTTAAGTAATATTATTACACAATATTACAGTGCTTTAATGCAGAAACTTTGTAAACTTTGTCCTTCACTTTGTAAATAGTTTTGCTAACCAAATAACCACTGCAATCTTAATGCTAATGTTTGCTAGCATGTCGATGTGAATTCCTGTGTTGTGTTTAGCTAGCAGTGCCACACATTTTCCCACACTGGAACTCATACTGCTTGAGGCAAAATGCAGATGTTTAAAGCATGTGAGACATTTAAATAACATATAGTTGTATGCAAAAGTTTGAACACTGCATATCTGCATACTTTAATGCAATTGCTGTTTATTTGATGCTAAATTTAACATATTGAAAAAATTGTGGCCTGTGCAAAAGGTATTGCACATTATATTTTATATCTTGTTTTTTTTTCACCCAATGTGTTAAACTCTGCCAATAAATAGAAATTGGGCACTAGAAGTTGCAAAAATATTTATGTTCCTGTAGAGGATGCTTTAACTCATTTTCACTTAAAAAAATCAACAACACATATGATTCGAATGGGAGTGTTCAAACTTTTGCATACAGTTATATTGTTTACTTTTTATTTTGAGTTCAAATCTTAACACTGAATAATGGAGCCTGTTAGCTATCTTTTAGCCTGTTTAGCCTCTTGTCTCTTAGCCTAGTTGTTAAGATAGTGTTGTCTGCCCCTCAGTTTAAGCAAAACTGTGTTCTTGTTACATCTATCAATACACTCAGTGGCCAATGCAAGCAACATAACAGTCTCCTCACAGCACATTGGTTTTTAGTGAGTTGGTGCATTAATACATTCATTTGTGAGTTCATTTGTTTAGAGGTGGTCATAGGTGTGCATGTACAATGAAAATTTTTTCAACAGCTTTGAACATGGCTCAGCCAATCAGGTTTAAGGACCACAGCTAAATAGCTTTTGGGGTACATAAAGTTAAAACTGATATGACAGTGTTGTGCTATGCTGTGTTATGATGTGCATAATGATCGGCTTATTGTAGTTTTATTTTTGAAAGAAATGTTTAGCTGCTCTGATGACGCATTCAGACTGGTGAAATTCAAACTGGTAGGTTTAAATAATTAACAGTTACGCTAGATCTCTTGCAAGCCTATGAGTTTGCCATGTGTGCTAATGGTGCCATAATTTGCTTTACATAATCCTACTTCTCGTGGCTCTGTTCAACATCAGTGCTAGTTTTTACCTGCAGCCCCTCCCAGGCGGTCGGAAATCATATTAACCACGTTGCTTTGTGTTGTCTGCCGGTCAGCAATCTCAGCAAGGGGTCACAGTCTGAAGATATTTACCTGAATGCCCACTCAGAACTGACAGTAATCCTGTTTCATGCTTCATTTAGAGGTTTTGAGGTCACCACTGTTCTTGTTTGTTTTAAATACAGCGGGATCTTGTTCTCAAGCACAGTCCTACTTAATTTTTATTGTTTTTTATTTTTATTTATTTCACATTTGCAATGTGTGCGTGTAACATCCAGTAGGTCTAAACAACTACAGACATCATTTTTGAGAACTTTTATTATGTAATAGTGCTTTGCCTTTACTGTTGTGTGTAATTTTCAGTGGGTACAAATAACTACAGGCATGATTCAGAAGAACGTATGTGTTTTATTATGCAACAGTGCTTTGGTTGTGCTGCAGCAATCACATGATTACTGCGAAGGCAGTAAACAGGAACCTTATTCACCGTGATCTCCTTTATGGTAAGCACATAACACCATGCTTTAAATGAAGGGGTATGGAAGGTGAATGACTTTGCAGGCTGCGGTCTTACTTACTCATGTGTTCATGTGTGGTCAGCCACCAGAGGATCTGTTAGATTTATATGCGGGATGGGTAGAGGTCAGAAGACTCATAAAAGTTGGAGCATTTTAAAAGTGACTGGACGCACGTGTGGAGAAGACTTGGACACGGTCAGCTTCTCCTTGGTCTGAAGAACCTGTCATTCTGCCACCTCGGCCTGTCCACAGCTCTACCAAGCAGGTAATGCTGTCATGAATAAGTCATAGTCAGTGCTTTATTTCACTTCCACGGCTGTTTATGACAGGTCCTCTCTGACAGTACCAGGCAGAGAAGAACGGCACTGGGGAGTGAATGAGGACTGAGGGAGGGTCCCCAGAGAAATGTTTAGTGTGCTCAAGGAGTGCAAACCTGTCAGAATGAGTAACGGCCCTGTCGATCTGAGACAAGCCAGCACCACCCCGATATCACCAGCCAAAATGCTGTTTTTCTCCAAGAAAGTTCTTCATGGAAAAGCAATAGCTTCTAGCCACTCTTAGACCTCGTACAATTGGGTTAGGATATGGGCACGAGTGAAAAGCGCAGGCCCCTTTGGCTCCGGGACATCCATTCAAGGCCTTACACATGATCCGTGGGGAGTGTTTAAGCATTTTATTATGCATGGAAATGTTAGGGTTTTCCTCAGGCAGGCCAGGTCACTAATGCTTTCAAATGCGTGGCACGTGAAACTTTAGACATTTGGATGGCTAGTTTTGGCTACTGCGCACCATCAGGAATTTCTTTTAGCATGTATCTGCTTTTCTGGGTCTCCGGGTAGCCTGAGCACTGTGACAATCCATCTTCCACATGGCCTCTGAAATATTTTCACAACTGCAAATCAGAGGAACTGTTCGAGGAACTGATGAAATCAATGGTGCATTAGATTCAAACAGTTTCTCCATCTGCAATTTCAACCTTTCTCTTTAGACAGTGATGAAAGTGCATTGTTACAAGGTAAAATGAGAGACCCTTAAAGAAAAGAAGGCTCTTTTTGATTATGTATTTATTTTCAGTTTTCTGTTTTCACACGAAACAAGTTAGAAATGCTGCATGAATGGTATGAGAGGAATCCAAGAAATAGCCTGGACTGCCCTGTTTGACCAGGCCTGGAGTCATGACTGAAACTTATTTCCTCTATTCTTGGGTGCCACATGTGTTCGGTATCTCCTTTCGCACAAAACAAATACTAACAATGCTATTAACAAAACATGTGTTCTTTAGATCTGCAATAATAAACAACTTTTCCTGGTGCTAGACAAACAGCATTTTGTTGTGAACAGTGCAGTACAATTTATATGGGGTTGATGTTTTCATCATCAGAGAGCCACAGCAAGTGACTGAAGGAGAACCGTTGACAAAATCGCTGGCATGTTAGTATCAATTTACCTATTCAAAATTCCTAAAAGAGATACTTTGACTGATATGACAATGTAGACATAGATTAGACTCCAGTAGGCCTCAATAGCAGTACTGTCTTATCAAGAACCCAATAAATCACTACATCATCCTCCCTTCAGCATGGGAAGTCTCTGGGTGAGGGAGTCTATTTCATAGGCTTCCCATGCTGAAGGGAAGAGGTCTCTGAGATGACGGAGAACTCCTGACAGGCTGCTGTCTATCCCCACAAAAGCTTGTGAAACAGCAAAATCATTAGCTACACTCTTAAAAAAAAGGTGCCAAAGAGAATGCTTTGGAGTGATGCCATAGAAGAACTACGTTTGGTTGCCTAAATAATCTTTCAGTGGATGTTGGATGCTTTTTTAAAGAATAACTGTTGTAAAGAACATGAGTGAGGATAAAAATAACCTTTTGAAAATTAAGAACATCCATAAAAGACGTTCAATTAATGTTTTTTTTTTTCAATCCAAGAGTGAATAAGCAACAGAGAAAGCCAGTTTCAGAGTTGATGTTCAATCTGTCAAGTTTTCTGGATGTTCTGAGAACCTCTTTACTTAACATTTATAACGTTCCCTCCAATGTTGTTGCATCATCATGAGAACCTCATTTGTAAGTTAGCAAAACATTTTCTGGACATTCTGTGTTGGTTTATATGTAACATTATAAACACTTCTACAATATTGCAGCCACATTATGAGAGTCTTATTTGTAGATTACAAGTACATTTTCTAGACGTTCCGAGAATGTTCAGTTAGCTGGGACTGTATTCTGTTGCAGTTATTTTTCAAGTTATGAAAAGGTACAACATGCATTTTCCCCTGAGAAAGTGAACGTAGTGTAGCACTAAAGGTACACAACTAGACCTAAAGGACCATTTTATACTTTTACGAATACATTTACATGTAAGGGATCAACATGTACCTTTGTAGCACCCTTTTCTCTGATGGTGTAAAACCTTTATAATGCAGTGCAATAAGTACAATGACAAAGAAAATGATTAGCAGCTCATTTTGAGAAGACCTTAAGGAGTTATGATGTCTCAGTGCTTGTAGTCAACTCAAAGAAGCCAATTGTTCTCGTGTCTTTTATGTTCAGCTGGATCCAGCAGGTTAAACTTGGCCATGAAGACCACATTCAACAATTTTTTATGTATTGTACTTTCAGTTTTCCAACTGACTCTAGACTGCAGTGCGAAACAAAAATCCCTAGAGAAGATGGAATGAGCCCTTCAGAGACCTTCACCAGTGCTCTGTTCTTCATCCAGCTTGCTGGGGGACTGTGAAAACTATGAGTGGGACTGTAGACAATATATAGGCACTTTCAAGACAATCATAAAATTTTACAACTGCTTTTATGTTTGGATACATGCTCTCATAGGTAAAATATCCTTTGATTCTGGTGATAAGTCAACAATTGCAGGCAAAAAGCAAAGCTTGATAAACAATCAAAAAGGCTTTAAAGCTAATGCTTAGTCACAGGCACAGGATTGACCAACAGTACTAATTTAATTAATGCTTGACCAAAGAAGATCAAAGAAGTGATTCAGCCTTTTATCAGCTTTGTCATTGTTGGTCATAAATATAGATAAAGCGTGATTCTTTTTTGGGTCTAGTTACCAAGAAAGAGCTCATGTTTATATGAGTCAGGGCCTTTGTAATTTATCAGTCATGTAAATTTTCAACCACTTACATGACTGTAGAGATGGATTTCAGTGTGCATTGATCAGCTGAATATTATACATTAGCTTGCTCATTGAGTTATTAGTTGCAAGTAGTTACAATGAATCTAATCAGAATTGTATTTTTATTATTTTTTGATCAAATTGACCACCTATTCTAGAGCAAAGACTTATATTTTAGCTAACATTAAGTTGACAGGAAACAAAAGATCATGATGTGTAATACATAAATAAAAGTACTCTGAAAAATGCCTGATTCATGTTAGTTAACACTTAATAAAATAGTAATAAACAGTTAATAACTACCTATTGGCTTGATACATCTTAAAAAGTGAATCACAAGAGCATTATAATGGAATTATAAAATAAAATGTGACTTATACTTTCTTTTTAACCTTTATATGCTTCTAGTCTTCATTAGAGTTTTTTCCAGCTGGATACGTTTCATTGGTTTGTCCGACAGTAAACTGCTTGGGGCCTTCTTTCCACACAATCACTGAACTGAACACTTAAATAACCTGTACTCCTTACTATAAGGCATATACATGTCCTTCAAATCCATTGTAGTGTACACAAGCTCATTTTGTCTGTCCCAGCTGTTCTGGCCTTGCTTCTGTTTGTGCATACCACTGAAATGTGACATGTGGCATGCGTATGACCATCAAAGGCTATTTCTGACCATATGGAGAATTTGTTCTTTATTTGCTCATCATATTCTAGAAAAAATAGATAGAGATATGATATAAGAGGGATATAACACATATAAATATAAAACTAACCCTAGAAGCTATTGGCCTTGTTTAATTTACTTGGAAACCAACTGGAATTTGATGCCATGAATGTGACTTAGCAAAAAATGAAAGGGAACATTTCCTTCACTTCTCTTGAATAAGACTACATGGGTCAACCTACACATATGACAACCTGGGGCAATGGCAGTAATTCAAAGGGGTTTGATGATTACACTATAACAGCATTGTGTATTGTGTTTCACTGTGGTGATACAGTTAAATGGGATGTACGTTCTCTACTGTTGACTTCAAAAAAAAAAAAAGGATATTCAGAGACAATGTGCTTCTGATATCACTTCAAACGAAAGGGAGGATGAATGAATGAGCTCAGATGTTGATGAGACTAAACCATGACTTGATGTCCAATACCGTGCAGAAGTCCACCATGCATTTAATTAATGTGTAGTCAAAATGGCTATTGAACACAAATTGTCCATTTTTTCAGTGCTAGAAAAAAATAGGAACAAATATTTAGCAGAAATGTTTATGAGTCAATTTATCAGTCATGTAAATTTTCAACCATTTATATGACTGTACAGATGGATTTCAGAGTGTGCATTGATCAGCTGAATGTTATGCATTACCTTACATATTGAGAATTACCATCAGCTCTATGTGGAACGTGTTTTCTAATAAACTCAGTAATTAAATGGCAAATTAGTTACATTGATTCTAATGTTATGCACAAAAATCTCAAGAACTATGTATGATTTTTTTTTTAATATTGTGTGACCACTCTTTGCCTTTATTACAGCTCCTATTCTTTTCAGGAGACGTGCTTTCAGTTTTTCAAAGAAATCTACAGGGATATTTTTCCACAATTCCAAAGTTCAGTCTTAGATGTTGGTTGCATTTTCTGCTTCTCACAATCCAAATAATCCCAAACACATTCAGTGATGTTGAGGTCTGGGGTGGTCAGTTTATTGTTCTGAGAACATCAGCAGCTTCTATGTTTGATTCTTTTTTGTCTATTTCCTTTTCTTTTTGTCTTATTGTCTTCTCACAGAGGAAGAATGGACTGAAACACTTGTGATTTCATTTTCTCCCATTTGATGAAAGTACTGTTTATCTGATGGTCACAGTTTTGGTGGTCTACCAGGTCTTGTTGTTTGGAGTGCCAATGTCTTTATGTCTTTTAGTCATATTTTGAACTTCAGTTTGGAAACTGTGAAAGTTTTTTTGGTGACACTTTATTTAAAGTGGTCCTTTTAGATGGAACAAACACTCAATGGACTCTCAGTAACATGTCAAAAACATATGAGGGTTAGAATTAGGTTTTGGGTTGAGGTTAAGGTTGTGGGTGAGGTTGAGTAAGGTTAGGTTTTGCGTAATGGAAGTAACATATTAACAATACATCTACTTAATGTAAGTAATGTATCAACAGAATATCTACAAGATATTTACTTCAATGTATTCAGATGCTGCACTACTGCCACTTCACTGATATGTTGTTGATGTGTTACTGATACTCTGTTAAGAGTTTATTAATCATCTACAAAGGACCACTCACTTATGTAATGAAAGTGTAATAATTTAATGGCCGTTTTGACAGGAAATTAAAAAATTGAAGAATGGCCTCTAACTTTTGCATAGTAGTTCAATCTTCAAGGTCTTTTCTTCTTGGGTCATTGGTGGAAATCACATTATTTGACAAGAATATTGACATATACTGCACAAACTTTGCATACACTCAAAAACAAACAGGGTTCTTTGAAATGATGAAAGAACCACCACTTTTCACTGTATGGTCCCTTTGAAACTACAACCACTGTTGTAAACATAAAGTGTAAAGAACCCTTTTAAAATTTATAGAACCTCCATGTAAAGTTTCTGTAGCCTTGTCCAAGTAACGTATGTCCAGGGTGAGAACAATTTCATAACCTTTATTTTTTCCATGAACACCAAAGTATTCCATGCTAGAACAGTTTGCTGAGATAGAAACATGCTGTCATCTAAAATGTTCTCTGTTATTGTGGAACTGTCTCTCATTCAAATCCCTACTGGACAAGAGGAGACAGACAGACAAGGGCTTGGTTGTGAATTGAGGATTCATTGTCTAGCGCTGAGATGTTTTAACCACATCAGAGCCCAGAAGTGCTTTTGTTAGCATTATACGCTCTGATCTCCAGACAGACCTTTCAACTTCTCTGTCTCGCCTCTATCAGCAGGGAAAGGGTGGAGAGCATTCGGGGAGGTGAGCTGAACAGGTTAACCTGATGAAAAGAGCATATTCGTCCTTCAAATCCCAACCTTTGCCAGCAGTGAAACAAGCCTGTAGCATTTCAGCCCTGTCATGAAAAAACACATTTAGAGCAGCAAATGATGTGTAAAAAGAGGAATATGGATACAAACCTGAATAGCTGTCTGAGAATTTGGATTACAAAGACCTTTTCTGACCCCTCGGCCATGTTTTGTTGAACATTTTGAAGTCAATGGGAACCTGACACCTCACCTGGTGCTGGTTGGTATGCACAGAGGCAGAAGTTAGCCACAGCAATAGAGGTGACGGCATACACTAGACCTCAGGCCATTACAGCTTACAATTACAGCAAGAGTCAAATGGTTCACATTCAGAGAGCCTCTGATGTTGACAGTGTAAGGATCCTATTAGAGAATATTTTCAGAGAAAACAGCTCAGTGCCAAGCACAGGTCAATATTTGAATTTAAAAATGCAGTTATGATTGTGAATTAGATTATAGCTATACATCATGAAGCACATATGGCTGACTACATGTTTTGAGTTATGGACCATGAATGATCAAATTGCATTACACTGTCATGTTTTCATTCAAACTCCATGATCGGGCTTTAAGGGAAACAAACAAACTTTGCATTGGACATAAATGTACTGCATATTTACTTCTGTAATCCAACAATAAAAAATAAAATACAAACATCTGTCCAACTTAGGTTAGATTAAGATTTCAAAATTAGATTTAGATTACAGATTTTTGTATCTGTTTTTACAAAATGTGTAATACACATACCACCATTCAAAAAATGGAATCTCTATTAATAATTTTCTTTTATATACAAACATGATTCATACATTGTTTGAATATAGACACCAAAAAGTGTTTTTTGTTATCATGAAACATTATTAAATGAAAACTACTATTTAACGTATTGCATTAATGTATCCATTTACATTATGATTATTAGAGTTAAGCCATCAGTTCAGGCCAAAACAGGGTGAAATTCTCCCTATGGTATTCTAGTATTACACATTTCTGTATGTACTAGATTAAATGTAGACACTTGAAGCTTGTAAAACACATTCCATGTTTTATTTGAAGCTTGTAACAGACATATTAACATATATACCTTACCCTGATTTTACAGTGACTCTTTCAGTAAAGAGCCCTGACATTGAAGAGCTGACTGAAACTCTTATTTGCAGTCACTGACATATGTTTGAAGTTGAGAAAGCTTAAAGGGATGTTTTTTTTTTTCTCAAAAGCCCAACCAATTGTAAAATAAAATGTGATTGGTTGATTCCACTGTCGGTTTCTAATCAGGTTATTATGTTATTTTGGTTCATCTGACATGTTAGGCCTTCGGCTTCTGTTCGGCTTCTGTTCGGCTTCTGAAGCCTTAACCAATAGGAGAGATTACTTGGCTGTATCTATGGAGAATAAAAAACCTTGATTGAAGTTACCATTGGACTACATTTACTACTACAACATTTGTAGAGTTTAAATGCAGCAAATATGATGAAAGTAGAAATTACAAACATATTTTTATTTCACAGAGATCATCAGGCCTTCTTTGAAGCCCTAGAAGACGCTGAGGGTTCCCCACTGATTTACTAATCATTTTTTGTCAAGTTATCTGCTACAAGATTCAGTCATCACTTTTGAAATATAAAGTATTCTGGGTATAAATTTTATTGATGCTCTTAAGTTCGCTCAGTCATTTTAAAATTGTTCATCATTCAGTACACAAATTTCACATTTATTTACAGCTTCCTACAAAAGAGCTGAAATCTGTAAAGTAGTACAGAACAGCATATAAAATTACTTTATACATTTATCTGCAAGCATATTGGTTTATGTTATTAATAACATTGATTTCCAATTTAGAATTTTAGTGTATGTTTTAAAACCTCTACAATTGTGTTGTATTTTGTTTGTGTAGATGTGAAGAATGTGGGTGGATGCCCTCAGTAATCTAAGTCACTGACTGATGGAGTGATCACGGATGTACTGACACCGGTTCAGCTGAGGTTTCATCTCCTACAGCGTGAGGGCAAAGGTAATTCTAGTGTCACTGTGTTAATTAATTGGTAGTGTCATTACCTCAGGCCGGATCTCTCTCTCTGAATTGCTTGTGCTGATGCCATGTGTTCAGGAAAGACAAGGAAATTGGAGTGATCTTCAGTTCTCATGCTACAACATGAAATTAACTCAGTAGAAGGTAGAAAAGGCAGACTTTTTTAAAGTAACTAAGCATTTATTAATACATTCATTATTGTCAGATCAAAAGCTTCACATATTTTTTTTTAATTCTTGATGAATGTACAAATAGAAATCGTCAAAAATGACCTGGAATCAAAACTTGATACATTAAAAATTTAAGAACAGCTTTCCTTTCCATTTTGTTCCAGTGACACGTAGATCACTTCACCATAATTCTTATGTATTGTAGAAAAGCTCTCAACACAATTTACCCCTCAAAACTTCATATTGCCATCTACACCCCTCTCCATATGTTATCAGCACCACCGTTCAGCCAGTAAATGTGTCAGGCTTTGTTGAGTTGGACAGAAAGGCGAACGTCTTGTTCTTAAGAGCCTGGGAGTATTTTTGTCTTAATCGCCTGTAGTCTCTTCCCACTTAGAGGCACCTGGGCCTCATTTCCTCTCTTTCCTCTCTTCCACTTCATATCTCTCTCTGAACACCACAGCACCTGATAAAACCTACTGGCCTTGTGAAGTTACACACATATGAAGCCTACAAAAGATTAACTACTTAATCAAATCCAAAGGGGGTAAGAGTGTGTCCACTATGTCTCAACAAGGCTGGAACTTGAAATATTCGTTCCTAAGCACATGCAGGTAAAAATAAGGTAACAGACATAATCTTGAGGGTGGGAGGCAATTAAATATATTACTTTTCCTTTTTTTATTCTGTAATATATAGTGTTCCTCCTGTTCTATAAATGATATGAGCTAGTTTAGACATGGTTGATTTGGCTATAAAGTATGGGCCGTTTATTTTGTGTTGACACAAAAAAATTCTGGCACAGTTTTATTTATGTCATGCAATTGCAACTATTTGAATCTTCAACCTTGAAATGTGTTCTGTCAAAGCAACTGTTGGTAGTTTGACAATGCTGGCAACATTCCCACTCAACCTAATGAGAAATTGTACTCATTCTTTTCTCAGAATACTGCCATCTGCAAAAGTTTGAACACTTGTGGTCAAATGACGTTTTGCTTATTTTCTAAGTGAAAACAGTGCACATCTTCTACAGAGTGCACATGTAATGTGGCATTTTCCACTAATTTTAGTACATAATTTCTAGTTATTTGCCAAGTTTAACATACAGCGAAAAAAATTCATTTCTTCCCCCCAGTGTGTTAAATTCACAGTTAAACAGTAATTGTTCATTAAAATGTGTGTTCCCTGTAGAAGATGTGTTAACTTATTTTTACTTAGAAAATCAAAAAACATGTTATTTGACCAGGGGTGTTCAAACATGCAAGTGGATGTGAATCATTCAAATTGGATCACTACAAAGTTTCCGTAAAGTTGTTACATAATGTTGAGTTTCTAATTTAAAATGCTATGCTAGTGAGCTAAGTATGCAACTAAGCAACATTGAGGATTGGACTACAATCCTACAGTGTTTGGACAGTCTGGTGTAGTTATTCTGTCATGTTTTTGTCATTAGAATTTTTTTTAAACATTCTATAACGCTTGTACAGCCTTGCAACAGTGGCTATGAATGCATTAGTGGGTGGAACATGAACAGGTCCAGTTCTTATGTTTCTCTAAAGTGCTGACATCACATGACATCATGCACAGATTTTTGCAATCATCCTGTGAAGCTTGTCTAACCTCGCAACAGTTGCTAGGAGGAATGCACTTGTGGGCAGATCACTGGTCAATTATATACGTACCTGAAGGCTTTAGAAAATAAACTGTATCAAATTTACTTAATCACAACTTGCTTGATTGAGGCTTGGTGGTCATTCACACTTGCCCAACTGCAGGATCTCCCTGCCCAGATACCTGCAGGTTATGTAACCTCTATTGAAATACATGAATTTGTGCCAAGTGATGAAGACATTACACTTGCTGATAGTGAGATGCAGGTAGATCCAATGATCATTTATTCATCTGCCCCTCGCTTTCCCTGAAACCAAAGCTAATCCCACCTATGCATTATTCATCTTTTGTGAACACATGGTCTATGAATTTTTCAGCATTGGGCAGCCAGTGTTTTTGTTGCCAGGGTGCAGATCACTTAGTTGTATTGAATGGGTCTGGAGGCTAAAGCCAGGTTCAAATGTGCAAAGGTCAATGCCAGTGTAAAAGGTAAATGCTGCTTTAAATGTGACTGTTACTGTTCATTAGCAAATGAGTACCTTTGAAGTTGGTCATCATGTTCATATGCTGTCAGATTTGCTGCTCTAATGCTTTGGAATCTATGTCAATAAACCATGAATAGTTAAAGAATGCTTTCTGTCTGTCAACCGCCCTGCTATCCTGAAATATATCCATTTAACTGAATCCTAAGAGCCAACTTAATATGTTTTTGGATCAGGCCTCTAGTGGACAAATGATCTATAGTGGACAAGTACCCTATTAAGAGGCGATCGATGGTAAAAGTTGGAGTTATGCGTCACATGTTGCTCAAATATATTAACATGCTAGTCCAAGTAGGCCTGAGTCACTTGGCTGTTGCTTTTGATTAATTGTGCTATTTGGGGCTTAAGAGACTATTAATTTATTGTTGGTACAACACGCCGAGGCCTAATGTCATTCCTGCATAGAAATAGCTTCCTCTTAAATATTTTAGTTGGCATCTAAATTAATCATTAAGGAAATCTTGGATCAAATTAGAGTTAGATAAATGTGGGCTTTGAAACGGGGCAGTATATTTACCCATATTTAGCTTTCAACATTGAACTTAGGAACAAATAGCCCTTTGGAGGTTTTTCTGCCTGAAACTACCTCTCTTTTAGCTTTGCACAGCACAGTGAAACACCTGAGAGAGAGAGAGAGAGAGAGAGAGAGAGAGAGAGAGAGAGAGCAGGCAAAGGTCCTCACTGCAAGAAAGGTAGAATTTCATCCCCTTTGAAGTAACAGAGAAGGATTCAGGCCCCTCATTAGCTAGATAGAATCTACACTCAGACATGTAAGTTAGCGATTCGAATCTATTGGGACAGATTGAATTCCGTTAAATAGTGCTGTTTTGTAGTTTTCTCAGGCTCTCTCGGCTATCTCCTATGAGGCAGCAAACAATGAGAAACACTGCAGGACATTCAGTGGCAGAGTCTGGCTGGGAAAAATCCTTTGGCTTTCTCATATTCTCCCCTTTCACAAATCCCTCTATAGATAGGTTATCTCTCTGAATGGCACTCTCTGGTCTCCTGCTCTCCCTCTCTTTTAAATGATCAAGAGCATTTAAGAGGAAAAGACAAAAAATACGCTGAACAGATTTGATATTGACAGTCTGATTAGTCTGGTGTCCTGCAGATCAAATATTGTCAAATATTAATGGGGCTGGCTTTAGGAACAGATTGAATTGGTTCAGATCACAGGCGAAAGAGGACATACCACACAGGATGACAAATGTTACTCAGTGTAGCTCACTCTTTTTATGTTGCACAAGGCATAGCAGTTCCACATGCGCAAATGAACAGATCTAAACAGAGTGTGCTGCAGGGAGTCGAATACTTTTTTAACCTCTTTCACCTTTCCATGTTCACTGGAAACAAGCAAACGCTCTAGAACTGTATTATATCATCGGTAAATCTATTTGGGTTTGCCTCAAATATTTAACATTTTTAGCATAATTTAATGGTTGAGATGTAAACAAAGTCATTCAGAGCAGTCTGATGTAAAGTGGTTCACTGTAGAGAAACTCAGATTGCTTTACAGTGGTGGGGATAGGAACCAGGGGTCAACTACACTAATATATTTTATTTTATTTATTATCCAAAATGAACAGTGAACCAAGGGTTTTAATGTAATGTTGATGATGGTAAAATAGGGGTAAATCTGAAAAAATAAGTTTTCTTTGGGTACTATTTTGCCATACAATGCCCTGCATATACCTCTCCCCTGTGAATGTATTTTAAAAAATGCATTAGCAGACAAAATTTTTATCTCAAAACTATCGGAAAACAATGTCTCAGGCATGATGCAGAGTATTCATTTTTCATATTAGCATTCTGTTGAAGGAGGCATTAAACACATCAGACGTCTGGTTCCTATCACCACCATTGTGTGTGAACAATTCTGACTCTAATGGAGCATTTCACATAAATCTACTCTGAATTTTTACATTTTAACCATTTAATTATGCAGAAAAGTCCCCTTCAAATAATCCCACCAGTTTATAGAAGGAAGCAACATGCCTTCTTCTCTACAAATAGCCAATGTTATACTTTTATAGGTTGACATCTTGAAATCCTGGTTAAAAATCACATTTATACCTTTTGGCCAGAGTTCTTATTTCTCTGGTTGGCTGCTGCTGCCCAGTGTTGGCAGGAAATGTCCAACAGAGGAAGTATGTGATAAGATTGAAGTGTTTTCAGGCACGTCAGATTAGGCGCTGAGCCAAAACTTGGCCAGTGGGTTAGACCAGAGATAGGTAGCAGGGGGTTAAGGGGGATGGGAGAGATTTCACTGGAATGGCAAAAGACACCTTGGATTGAAAACAGCCATTCATCTTCAACCACGGGCTTTTGAAGGGATTAGGTTTGAGTTTCATCTTTTCCTCATGTCATTAAAATTTACCTCACTAGGGGGACCCACTGACGTTTTGTGTTTACTTCGTCAGACCAAAGCTTCTTAGGTTTATCCTGTCAAGAACATCTTGTCCAGCAGTAAGTACAATGTAGAAAATGCAATAAAGTCTAATGCAGTAAATAGTTTCTAAATGTAAGAAGAATCCTCGCTACTGATTCTAAAGACACTGGAAGCAAAGAGTGAGGTATGTACAGAAGCAAACCCCAGACTACATTAAATCAATATACAGACAGTTCAGTGACAGTAAACCACATTGTTTTGTCATTGCACTCAAAAGCAGTGGCCACTTCGGTAGATAACAGATGTTCCTTTTCTCAACCCTCTGCTGGCCCCTCCCCCCACCAGGTTTTTTTTTTTTTGCTTTCTCTCATAGAGAGTGAGGTCCTCGTGCCTGTGAGGATGATCAAGACAGTATGACGCAAGACTCAGACTGTCCGGTCTATCATGTAGGTACCACTGTCACGCGACTAGTGCCAGGCAGAGACTTCAAAGAGTAAACAAAGTGTGTAGCACTCAAGACACACCTGATTTCAATCACGCAATCAGACTCACACTCATGAACCCACAGCACTGTGAATTAGAATGGCATTTGTGAGTCGCAAGTCTTACACTTTTAGTAAGAAAATTCTAAATACTATAAAATAAGGTTCCACAACTTAGCAGAACCAAATAATAGTAAAATGTTACGAAGAAATTCTATATAAAAGGCAAATGTTACCTAAGCAAACTCAATTGTGCAGTTACTATGTTTTTGCCTGCAAAAAAAACTTATAAATTTAGAATAAATACGAACAAATATACAAATATTAATGCAGGAGAAAGTAACAACAGCTTGTTTTTATGCTGTGCGCTGGTTAACAGAAGAAAGTTTGGTTTCTGACTTTTCTATGTAACCAGCTATTACATAGATGTGTCAGAATCCACCACCAGCACATCTGATTTAACTTAAAAAGCCAAACCACGATGATAATTACAATTAATGCTGGGCTTCCTCGAAGAGAGGTTTGGAAATGTTTAAACAAGCACACTGACATATCTAAAAATCACAACTTATTGTGTAAATGTAATTTGTATTTATTCTAAGGTTAATGGCTTTCTAAACAACTAAACACTAACTGTCCTTTAACCTTTTAAATAGCTTTTAAAAGTACCTAAAACTTTATGCGTATGTATGTGCATGTATGTGTATTGTATATATAGAGAATATATATATATATATATATATATATATATATATATATATATATATATATATATATATATATAGATAGGTAGATAGATAGATACATACATATGCATATATATACATATATATGAGAGAGAGAGAGAGAGAGAGATGGATATAGTAGACAGTATAACATCTGATTAAACTTAGAATGGCAACTGTTTCATGCCAAGTGCAAGAACCATTCAAGCATTTTTGTTATGGCTCTATACACAGCATATTCACTGGCTTTATTGTAGAACCCCTTTTTAGTGGAGAACTTGTGGAGAACTTATGTTACAGTACTGCATTTCAGTTTGTGGCTGCAACTGGAAGAAGGGAGGAAATTCAGCAAATATGATATGAATGACATTTCCTTGAGAGTGAACGAATTTGGCTTGGCTTAACTACCAGAACGGAGGAGGATGTTTGATGCCATGGCTCGGCAGCGAGCAACCGGGATATGGATTTTGTCTGGCAATGTGAAAAGGAAATTAAACGACAAATAATCCAGACATGAGTCTCCGATTCTTTTCTGGATGTATTCTCGGTGATATGACAGCCTTGCTGCGTGTAATTGACTCAAAACTCCCCAGAGCCATTTTAAGGGCTACTTCAGTTTTTTTTTTACTTTCTTTTTCGTCTATTTAACATGTGTTTGCTGTTACAGGTACTTTAAAGCCTCTTACGTTCAGTCATGCCAACACAGCTGAAGGTGCCGTTCTAGGAGAAGAACTGAAGTCTGATGAAGGCGATGGGAAAGGAAAGAGCGCGAGCGAACGAGGGGGAAAGTTCCAGGTGTCTCTGATAAGGTTCACATGCCAGGGGTGTCCGCTGAAGTGAGCTAAAGGGAGAGAGAGAGAGGGAGAAAGAGAAAGAGAGAGACTGAGACACAGACCGGGCAACTCTTGGGGCTCACAACCCGAAAGGGAGGGAGCAGGGTGGGAGGGGCTGAGAGAGAGAGAGAGAGAGAGAGAGAGAGAGAGAGAGAGAGAGAGAGAGCTGGAAGAAAGAATGAGCGAGAGGGAGACAGATAGGAGACGAGCTAAAAAAAAATGCCCCTCTCTTTCCCCCTCTCATTCTGACACACACCCACAGGCGCACGCGCGCCCGCGCGCACCCGCACGGATCTTCAAAGCCAACTGCTTTTCATAGACTGCCTATTAGCGCCAGAGATTACATCTGGGACCCTGCACTAAATAAATAAGGTGAGAAGAGTGGCAGAGCTCGGTCACTTCAGAGTGCTCCACCTTTCAGGATCCTCAGAGAGAGCGCGAGCGGTGAGAGCAGGACGCAGAGGGGGGGAAAGAAGGCAAAGAGGCCACCACGCGCACTCAGAGGGACATTCAGAGAGAGAGAGAGTGGGACAGAGAGGCGCGCTCTCCCTCGCGGACTGACTTCCAGAGAGAGAGAGAGAGAGAGAGAGAGAGAGAGAGAGAGAGACTTGATCACAGCAGGAATTACATGAGTTTGACTTTCTACTGTGGATTCTTCTCTCTTCATCAACAACAGACTCAACAGTTCTGACTCAGTTGGGTTGTTTTGACGTTCTTATTTTCCCCCTTTTTTCTTTTTCTAGAGGACATTTTCCTGTTGCTGTGTGCGCTCCTGGACTTCTCCTCCGTTTTCTGAGGGGCGTGTGTGCGCGCGCTGGGGGCTCTTCAGCTCTTCAGGGGGGGACGCGCGCGCCAAAGGAGAGTTTTTTCTCTGAGTTATGGATGTTGACGCATTCCTTTCGGACACGAGGGGAAGCAGATCCAGACTATTAGGCAGCCACAGCAGCAGCAGTAACAGCAGCAACAGCAGCAGCAGCAGCGTTCTTGTGCGCGTTCTCGCGGGGCTTAGCCCCCTGCCCTCTCGCCTTCTGCCGGCGCGCGCTCCAGCATGTTCCTTTCTGTGAGGCTCTTCGCAGTCCTCCACGCGCCAGTACCATGTGCAAATGGACAGTGACGAAGGGTGCCGCAGCCTGGTTCCGTCCGCCCCGCGTGTGCGCGCTGCTGTTGCTGCTCGCGCTCCTCTGCTCCTCTCTGCCCGTGGCCTGCCATGGCGCGCGCAGCAGCAGGCCCGCGCGCTCTCCTCCGCCTCCTCCTCCTCCTCCTTCCAGGGTGGCCACCAACTCGTCCTCGTCCGCGGTGGCGGCGGCGGCGGTGGTGGTGGGGCGCCATGTCCGCAGCTACAGCCACCTCACGGGAGACGTGCGCAAGCGCAAGCTTTTCTCCTACCAGAAGTTTTTTCTCAGGATTGATAAAAACGGCACCGTCAACGGCACCAAGAGCAAAGACGATCCGTTCAGTAAGTAGCACATCTCTCTCTCTCTCTCTCTCTCTCTCTCTCTCTCTCTCTCTCTCTCACACACACACACACACACACAGTCTCTCTCTCTCACATGTGGGTCCTATAGAGGCGAAATGTTTCCCAGGATATGGCACAGCTTATTTCCTGCCTCCTTTGATTCGTTCGGCCCAAACATCCACTCATAATAAGAACCTTACCTGAGCTCGTGGTGGCACCAGCTTTTAGAATCTTCGCGTGTGCAGCAAAAGTTTTCTGACTAGTTAGCCCAGCATGTTTTCCTCCACTTCTCTGAGTGTACATTTATTCACAGCAGATTTCCTGGATCCAATTAGACGTGACCCAGGGAGATCTCTTTTCAGAGAAACATTTCAATCACTGAACATCTCCACCACATTACATTCATATTATCATAGTTTATTTCTGTTATTGTTATCATCAGTACATCTGTAGCACTGAACTGTAGTTCACTATAGCTCCACTACTGTAAAGTACTTAAAGTAGAGCTTTCATAATGTCATCTTGTTTCGGTTTGAGCCCCTTCTAGGCCTGACATCTAATCGCCTCGTCATGTCTTTTAGTTAAAAGTCTACAAGTTTACCCCACTTAACGGCAGATTCAAAGCATAAGGCCAGAACACCTGGCCAGCACACTGCAAAACTGCCTATACACTTTTCCGTTACTGCATTGCGCGCACATTGGCCCTAATAAAAAAAGCCTTTGACATATGGGGCCCATGTGCGTGGGGTTTTGTTACAGACCCAAAGCGCTGGATCTCTGTGGGTAGTTCAATTAGCCGAGCTGCCTCTTAAAAAGCCTCTGAATGAAGAAGTAACAGAGATTTCAAGTGTTTGAGCAATTTGAGTTGAGACAGTTACAGACAGGTCACGTTGGTAGTTTTCACTGGATAGACTTCATATGGCTGTATATCCACCTGTAGGGATGCCAGTAAACACGACAGGCATGTTCAAAGTTGACTCCCGCCAACTGCTTACCACATGTGAACATAATGCGGTTGTCGTTCGGGCCCACAATGACCTTAAGGCACAAGCCATGCTGGTCATTATGTTCCAGCCACATGCAGGAACATTTCAGAGAGAATACACATATCCTCTCAGTGCCATCCCATCAGAAAGTGTGGATATGGCCTGGAATGTCTGCGGGAGGCAGAGAGGGGAACCACTTGGTGGTGAATGAATCATTTCTCCAAAACAGGTTGGCGCTGAGCCATCTCCGAGCTTTCCCCTGCTTTTGTGAGGACGCTCTGGAGAGCGGCTGTGCCCACAAGGTAGCAGTAGTGCTCTGCACTTCAAACCAAACCAGAGTGGCCGGGCCTTTAAGTGTGCGGCTTTCGCGACAGCCGTGTTTGGTTTATTTATTCTGTAATCAGAAACCATTGTTGCCGCCATACTTGCCAGTAAAATGGGCAGAGATGAGGAGACTGGAATGCTATGGCAAGATATCATTGCAAAATATTTTTTTTTAGCCCAGTTGGAGCTGTTGTGAAAAAATTCCTATGCATGTGGAATAATATTTCTCACAGCATATTGTGATATACAGCACAGTAGGTTGTTCTGTATGAAGTGATGTTATAACATTAATGATCATCTCAGGGCCATAGACTTGTGTTTGAATACAATCCAGTATCTTTTTTATAGAGCTGGGAGATTTGGAGAAAAGTCTTTAGAGGAACATTGAAAGAGTGTCCATCACCATCTGTTTCCCTCCTAAGCTATAAATTCTCTTGATATATGTGCCTATTAGCTCCATTTAGAAATGTTGTGTTTTATTCTCTAGTATTAAGCTTCTGTTGGCCAATGTTTTGTCCAGATCCTCATGCTTTTACTTTATAGTGCTTGTTTAATACAGTCATGAGATCGTTTAACAAGAGAAACACAGCCATAGAAATATATTGCTGGTGTTTTCTTAATAAAGGATGAAAAATTTATGCATGCACAACTTTCACATTTTGTTATTATTTTAAGATAGCAAATATTTTTTACCATATGCAAAAACATTCAGAGAAGCATGACCGAGTGTAGCTCTTTACTAGCTGCAGAGTTTGTACGTCAGCAGTGGAGCACCGAGCGCTCTCCAGCCGAGTCGCCTTCTCTTTCTCCCTGCTCTCCACAAAAGACCTGTCTATGTGCAGCTTGTAATCCAATCCCACCCATATTGTTTGATTTCCCTTTCAGAATCCATCTGCTCAGTATCACTTTGTCACATTGTGTTTGTGACTCTCATCTCCCACAAGACATTTTTGGACATAGCCCCCGTGCTGGAAGTCCGAGCTGTCCTCAGTCCATTGAGCTTACCAAACAACAACCTCACTGTGATGCTGAAACGTACACATGAACGGCCCGTTCAGCTGAGAAGGCAAAATCCGTCCGCCTCAGCGCAGGCCTACAGTTTAGACTTTCTTTCCCTAGTTCAGACTCGCTTTATCTGTTTCTGCTTAAGGTGGTCATTGTTTGTTCCTTAAATTAGTATCCAACCAAAGAATAACACAGGCCAGAAGGTAAACCATACACTCTTACAGATAAAGGTTGGTATAAAATCTTTGCATTAAGTCCTTAAAACATTGAAAATAGTCTTTATTTGCAAACAGAGGTCTTTGATAAAGCATCCATTGAACCATTCATTCAACCTTCAGGTGCATTAAGCAGTTGTTTCTGAAATCGGATCTCAGGGCCCCAGATGGTCCATAATTTTCCTCCATCCTTAAGTGTTGAGTTTTCAGATTTAGTAAAATTGTGGGCCGTCAGGAGGGCCATGAGGACTTGCTTGAGAACATCTGATGTAGAGTCTTTACATTATTATGAGGGTTCCTATTATGTTCTTTGCACTTGCATCCCATTTACAAAAATGGTTCTTTAAAGAAACGTCAATTCAACTATCCATTGAGCCATCAGTTGTATAGAGCCTTTACATCATGTGAGGGTCTTACCTACATTTCATCTAATTTTTCTTTTAAATAAACCACCCATCAAAAGGTTCTTTAAGGAACTGAAAGTGGTTCTTCTATGCCATTGTTCCAAAAAACCTTTTTGCACCTTCCTTTTTATGAATGCAGATGCTTCCAGCTCTCTTCTGGGCTTAAGCAGCAGAAAAATTTGCCTTTAAAGAAGTTCAATCCGGCCGGCCCGGCAGGAGGAAATTCTTAATGAGGATCATTAGGCTTTGACAGCTTTGACTGAGGGTATTTAGCAGTTTAGGGTTCAACTACTGGTTGTGAGGTCCAAAGTGCAGGGGTCTATCCAATCATCATGTCAACTGGTGGGCAGTACATCAAACAGAGGTCGGCGCACTGGTCATTTTCCCCCTACTCAGTCCATTTAGAGCCAGTTGAATCTAATAGTGCTCAATTAGGGATACAGATGATGCTTGAGGCAATGAGGTGTTTCTAAGCCAAAATCAATTGCCCTGGTGCTGCTCTGCTCAGAGTGCTGCTGATGTGCAGCCTGCTGGATGAGAGCATGCTCAGAACATTAAGAGGGGTAACACTTCATCTGTCACTGCTTGTTTTTTTCTCCTCAGAGGTTTCAGAGTGTGTGGAGTGGGGGGTGAGCAGTGGAGTTCTTACTCGTTTCTGACATAACAGTGCTTTCTATGAACAACTTTGGTTGCTAAATTGGAATGTTACATTTGCAAGTAGGGGTGGGCAATATGATGATGTTTATCGACATTGTGATCATTTATGTAACAATAGATTTTTCTGAGCATGTCATTTATATCATTAGTGCTAAAGAACATTGTTGTTGTTTTTTTTTACTGCATCACCCATCCTTTGTTAGAAGGTCAGAGTATCATTACTATAATTATTGTAATAGTTCTATTAATGATGTATGTTAATTTCTAATTTAAACTCTAGACTTTTTGTTCAGTTATTGATCTTCAGTAACTGCTATAAATTAATTTCTATAAAACTAATGTCAGTTATTTGCAACCAGTTGCAAGTTGCACATTGCAGCTGTCAAGCGATTAAAAAAAAGTAAAACTTGCATGCAACACAATGACTCTAGTAGTTAGCAAGATTAGCTAATATTTTTCATAGATTATACAATTCTAGTTATAAAAATTGATCTGCAATGTGTTATTTGTGTTATGCAATGTACTATAATAGGCTACAAATTCATAACCTAGCTATGTAGCTCAATTAACAGGCTAACAAACACTGACACAAGCAGCCATTCAATCAGTCACATTAGCTTTAGCTCACTAGTTAACATTTCTAGTCAAACTAGCTGGTTACCAGCAAATTACCAACATTATTCCATATTCTGTGTAATGTCCCGGTCTATGATATGTCAGTTGAAACATGCATTATGATTGGCTGTTTCATGAAAGTTGTTTCACACAACTGCAACTGTTGCGGCTGAGATTCAAACATTTCAAATGAGCTGGTTCCAAATAAACTGCATGCAAATAAAAGAAAGCTGAACACACTGACTGCTGCTGTAACACGTTTAGAGGGCAGTGGCGAGTAATGTTTGTTTATTTAATGTTGATTATTAATATGTTTAGTGGGCAGCAGTGAGTAATGTTTGTTTATTTAACCTTAAGATGACTGTAGACAGCTCGGAAGCATAATTGGCTAATGAGCCAATTCAGCCACTTTAGACTTTTATTTTGCTAAATCCATAAAATGAATATAAAAAAAAAACAAAACAATTAAATAGTTAAACTGCTGTCACAGTTATAACTATGGCAATTAATCATCAGTTAAATTTGTATTATAATAACAGGCCTAGTAAAAAGCAAAAGCATTATTACCTGTTGCTTGTCTATGATTTCTTTTCACTGAGAGAATGACCTCGAGCTGAAAGGCTTGTCATTGTCAGTCAGGCGGTTGGACAGTCTCAGTGAGACGCTCCACTGGGCTCAGATGGGAAGCTGGTGTGATGTTAAATGCCTCATCAGTAGCTAATGATTTGACAACAACCAGCTCTCTCAGCAGGAGAATCAGCTGCTCCTCATTATGTGTGTTTGTGTGTGACATT